GGCTATATGGGAACTTTCTATATTACATCTGCAATTTTTCTGTATATCTAAAACTGTTTTAAAATTCAAAGTTTTCTTTTTTTTAATTAACAGCACCAACAAAGAATTTTGAGATGGCAACAGCAGAGAAAATGAGTAAATTGTCTAAGACAGAGCCAGGATTTAAACCCGGATCTGCCTGACCCCAAGGCTTTTGTGACTAACTGCTTCTGTTGCCCAAACCCCAGGAAGAAGGCCCTCCCCTGGAGACAAGAGAAAAGATGTGTGTGGGGTGGGGAGTGGGAGGAGGGCTGTCACAGTATTTAGCTGAGGTTAAGAGCCCAAGCTTGACGGTCACGTAGTGTTATGATTCCATTTATATGAAATTCCCAGAATAGGCAAATGCACAGAAACAGGAAAGTAGACTCATGGTTGCCAGGGGCTGGGAGAGGAAAGAAAGAATGCACAGGGGAAGCAGGGGAGGGAACTGTTTTCATGGTGTGGGATTTCTTTCTGGGGTGATGGAGATGCTATTGAATTAGATAGTTGTGATGACCCTACAACACCATGCATATGCTAGAAAACACCAAATCGTACACTTTTATTTACTTATTTATTTTTTAGTAAGCTCGACACCCAACATGGGGCTTGAACTCATGACCCCAAGATCGAGAGTTATACGCTCCCCTGGCTGAGCCAGCCAGGCGCCCTGAATCGTGTACTCTTAAATGGTAAGTTTTATGTTACATGAATTTTTTCTCAATTGAAAAAGAAGAGTACAAACTTGAGAATCCATTCTGTCTGGATTTGCATCTCCACTGCACCACTAGCTGTGTGTGACCCTGGCCAAGCCACCTCTCCATGCCTCTGTTTCTTTATCTGGCAAATAGGGGTTGTAATAACAGTACCTATCTCAGAAGGTTGTTGTCAGCATATAAAGGACTTGGGACGATACCTGGCACATAGAAAGCACTCCACATTAGCTATAATAATAACATGGTAGAGCTTCAAGGGGCTTCAACCCTAGGTGCCTCCCTCCGCAGGGTCCAGGTGTTGACTGGATGGGTCAGGGGAGGGATTATGAACTCATTCTCAAACCTTCCCTCCCAAGATCCTCCAAACCGAGTCGTCTGAGAGCCCCCCTCCCCCAGACAAGCCGGGGGTCCAAGAACCACTCCTCGGGAGGCCCCCCGGGGTAGAAGCCAGGGGCGCTTCTCGCTTCCAGACCCACAGCCTGAGGATGGAGGTCGCCGCGGCCGCGGGGGAGGCGTGGAGCTGCAGCGCGCCGCCTAGTGGCCCCTGTGAGAACACGGGGGGTGCCAACCCAGAGCGGCCAGCCCCGCCGGCAGGGAACCCAGGGCATTGTAACTAAAGAAGTAGCCGCCTGTACTCAACCAGATAAGGGGCTTTCTGTATATTCTTTTCAATTCTAGGAGGTAGTTAGTGTTTGCATTTTACAATTGAGGAAACCGATGCTAGGAAAGGCTCAGCAGCCAGCCCACCTTCTCCCAGAAGGTAAGCGCTGTCCCTGGTCCATCTCCGAATTCCAGAACTCTGTCTCCCATATGCTCTTCTGGTTTGGGAGAAATGAGGATAGCCCATGGAAGCATCTGCAGCCCCCACTAAGGGTTAGAACTGGCTCTGGGACTGTCTCAAAGCAGCTATGTTTCAGGAAGGCAGCCCCACGTCCTTGCCCCAGACCTTAAGCCCCCAGGAAATGGAGGGGGAGGTGAGAGGCTCCTTCTAGGGTTGGTTGAAAAGGCTATGGGCCCTTTGCTCATTAACCCCTCTTTTTCCAGCCTCGTTGATGTTTCCACTCAACCAATATTGATCGTAGGCCTATTGTGTGCAGGATGAAGTCTTCCAAGCTGGATATATAATGATAATCCGGAAAGGAGGGGCCCTGCCTCTGAGCAGCTCACCACCTCCCCCTCCTTCTTAACTCACAGCAGGACACCTTTGCTGTGAGTCTGATGGCACTGGGTTTGGGAACACCTTGGTAATTCTTAATCCAGTTACTCCAATCAGTCATCCCAGGGCCTGGGCTTTGCCCGCTCTTCACCCATCCTAGGAAAAGGTGTGTGCTCAGGGTATTATGACTCCCTCTGAAGTCCTTTCCCTGGCCCTGGCTGAGGACCAGCACTCACACTGTTACAGCATGGGAGAGGGGCAGGGGAATTTCGGAGGGATCCCCAGTGTACTAAGTTCCCCACCCTGATGCTGGCGTCCTGGAGTGAAAACAGGGCCCAGGACCCTCCCCCCAGTCTCCATAGGCATATTTTAAGAGTTGAAAGAGTTTTTAGGCTGGGTAGGAAAGTGGGGCAGACACCTGCAGGAGAGGGGGAAATAAATAACCACTCTTCTGTTGCTTGCCCTCCCATCCCCCCTTCCCTGCTGCCAGGAATTAAACAAAGTCATAAAACCTGACATTGGACTAGAAGGGCCTACCTGGTGCCACTACTGGCTGAACAGCAAGTCCAGAGGACTGTAGTTTTTGGAAAAATCTCCAATTCCCACTGGCCTCTGATGAAGAGAGAGAGAGAGAAAGGGAGGGCACCGGCACCAGCCCTGTGGTCCCCGCATGCATGCCATGTTTCTGCTGAGGTCCCTGCTGAGTTATTTAGCATAGTGTCCTTGACCATGTGTCTGAATCCAGGGGATGACAGTCAGCAGTGGGTCTTGGTACCTGTGTTCCTGTATGTGTTTCCTCCAGGAAGTTAGGTATCTAAGTATCAATTTATCTTTAGTGTCATTTTCTTGAGAGTATATTTGTGCTTTTGGAGGTATATGTCTGTGTATGCGTTTGTGTCTGTGACACAGGGTAGGTGTGTGCTTTTTTGGGGTCCCTCGTCTTAGGTATAAGGTTTTCTGTACAGTTGGTTGCCCACCTGTAAGTGTTTCGAGGAGGGTCCTTTTGCACCTGTGGGTCTTTGCTGCACGTTTAGCTATGCCTACTTTTGTAGGTGTCTCTCGCGAGGTGTGCTTATAACGGCGTCCAGGGGTTCGTGCATGTATGCAGGCTTGTAGTTGTGTGGATGGGTGGGGTTGGCTTGGCGTGATGAGCTATTGACTCTCATCCACGGCCCCTGCTGGATGTCCTGGGCCAAGCCAAAAATAACCCAACTACCTTTGCCCACAGGGACCTTTCTCAGTTGGCCAAAGTTCTTCCCAGGGAGTCCTGCTCCACCCAGATCCACCCTCCTGATCCTGAATGCCCAGCCAGAGAGGGCGGGGGAGGGGGCTGACTATAAGCACCCTGCCCCAGATGCTCCAGACCCCAACCTGTGCGGGACTGTGTGGGGAGGAGGATATTGGGCAATACTTACTGCCTCTCTGCTCCTACCAAGTCCCCTTCCAGCCTGCAGGGTCGGTCCCCAAGTCCTTTCTCCTCCCATCTAGGAAGCATCCCTGGGGATTCTTGGCCCTCTTCCAGCCCATCCCCTACTGGCTCCTGGGCTTGGCTGGACCAACCTCTGAATTTTTTCACCCCTTCCGGAAGCAGCCCACTGCACTCGTATTTGAGGAGCGATTCTAGATCTCAGATCCAGAAAAATCCCAAGTAGAGAACAGATCAGAGCTGGGGGGGAGAGGCATTCCTGCTGGCTGCCAAGTCCAGCCCCAGAGGAGGGGTAGGGTGGATGCTCCCCAGCTCAGAGAGTTTCTTTCCAATCCCATCTCCCCTGCCCCCTTCACTCACTCATTCTCACAAAGCCGTGTGATCTTGAGCAAATGACTTTACATCTCTGTGCCTCCATTCCATCATCTATAAAATGGGGATACAGGGGCGCCTGGGTGGCTCAGTCGGTTAAGCGGCTGCCTTCGGCTCAGGTCATGATCCTGGGGTCCTGGGATCAAGCCCCACGTCCGGCTCCCTGCTCAGCGGAGAGCCTGCTTCTCCCTCTCCCTCTGCCGGCCACTCTGCCTACTTGTGCTCTCTATCTCTCTGTCAGATAAATAAATAAAATCTTTAAAAAATAAAAATAAAAAAATAAAAATAAAATGGGGATACAATTGGTACAACTCAGAGTTGTTGTGAGGACTAACTCAGGCAACGCATACAAAGTGCTTAACCCCTTTCCTGGGGCACAGGTCTTTGCCAGTGTAGCTGGCTCACCCCTCCTGACGTCTCTGTGTTTCAATCTCAAGACACTACCATCCCTCAAACTCCACCTAGTTCCATATGTCTTCTAGCCCACCCTTGGGTGGCCAGGACTTTCCCCCACAAATCAGACTGGCAGGGAGGCGAGATCTTGGAAAGAGAGATTACTGACGTTTATGCAGTTTCCATACATACTTTTTTCATTCAACTCTACACCCCCTTATGAGATAATTATAATTTTTCTCTATTTTAGATGATGATGAAGGGAGCATCAGAATGGTTAAGGAACTTGCTCAAGGTCACACAGAAGGTGAGGAGCAGAGCCCAAAGGCTGTTCCTCTCCCCTCTGCCCCACTGTCCCTTGGAGGGCAGGTTTTTAACATTAGCACCTAAAGTGCTACAGGAGGTTTAGAGGGGTCTGGTAAACAGTTCTGCCTAAGGTTGTAGAGCCATCCAGGATAAGCCACATCTGTACCCACCTTCACATAGCTGTAAGCCCCAGCCTAATCAGGACTTGAGTATTTGAGATTTTCCCATTTAGGGAGTCTTTTTTGGAAACATCTCCATAGGCTGAAGGCATAGGGACGATACAGACCAAGGGAGCCAAAAGTGAGAGTCGTCAACTTAATCAGATGATAAAGCCAACACAGCCAAGCCAAAGGAGAGCTTAGATACATTTCCTTAGTTTTTGGAAAAGAAAATTGGGCAGACTCCGTTTCCAGCTGCTTTCCAGTGGCCGGGTTTTCCAACTCGCCAGGCCCAGCATCTCGCGAGGACCCCCCCGCCCCGCAAAGGCCCCCAGCTCAGGCCGCGGCGCCGCCCAGGTGGCCGTCGGTTTCCCCCCTCCGGGGGCCCCCTGCCGGCCCCGCCCTTGCCCGCCCAGGCCCCGCCCAGGCCGCGCGCCGTCCCGCTTTGCTCGCGGACTGACTAGGGCGAGCGAGCGGCAGCGCTCCGCATTGTGGCAGGCGGCGGGGGCCGGCGAGGGCGCCGGGGCTGCGGGCAGCGGCGGGGCGCAGAGAGGCGCGCGCAGGGGTTCTGACGGCGCGGGGCCAGCCGCTGGCGAGGGCCGCTGAGTGCACTCATCTTCCGTCGCGTAACTTCGAAGCCAGGGCGCGGGAGCCCGGAGAGCGCTCGGAGCCCCAGAGCCTGAGGAGCGCAGAGAGGGGCGCGCCGGAGCCTGGTTGGAGAGCGGGCTCTGGGCACCCACTGCGCTCCGAGCGCCGGGCAGCCCTCTGCGCAGCCTGGCTGCTGCTGCCCCCACGGAGGGTACGGGCTGGCGCGGCCGGGCGCCGGGGAGGACGGCGAGGAGGAGGCGGCGGCGGCGGAGACGGCGGCGGCGAGGCTGGGGCCAGGGAGAGAGCCCCGGGGGAGAGGCGCCCGAGCCTGGCCGCGGGAGCATGTGGGCCCGGAGCGGAGCGCGGGGCGCGCTGCTGCTGGCGCTGCTGCTCTGCTGGGACCCAAGACTGAGCCAAGCAGGTAGGGAGCGATCGGGCATGGGGGCGGGGGTATAGGGGACCTTTGCGCCCCAGTCTGTCCCTAAATTGAAGTGGTCCATCACGCGTAGGTGTGCACAGGGAAAGCGCAAGGGCACCCAAGTTAGAAGGTAGATTTCTCCTCCCCACCAAAGTGGTCGATGGCGCAGCCACCTCACTGGGGGTGCCTGCCAGGTGGTTCAGAGTAAGCTTCCTGCCTCCCCTGACGGCCTCCTAGAAGGGATCGCTTCTTTTCCTTGGAGCGGGTGTCCGAGTCGGAGTCTGCTTCTCCCGGAGGACTGGCCTCCAGGGGACCCCCGGCTCCCCGCGCATGGCGGCGGCAAAAAAAAAAAAAAGAAAAGAAAAAAGACTACTGCTGCTCGGGCCAGGTGTGTGCTTGCTTGCGTTTCGCCGGAAACTTCCTAGTCGTGGTTCCTGGCTCTTCCCAAGCTCCTACGCGCTGCACCCACCGGAATCCGCAGACGGGAGGGAGCGAGAGACCTGCGGAGCACGGGAAGCGCGGGTCCGCTCCGCGAGCCGGGGGAGGCCGGCTTGAAGGGCTTTGGCTATAGAAGGGGGAAGGGCTGAATACTGCCGTACAGCTTTCCCCGCAACCGCAGGATCCGCAGGTCTGGAAGGATTTTTTCTGGGGTTTGGTGCGTGTGTGTGTTGGGGGGGGGTATGTAGTGATCCTGCCAAGTTTCCTTTTAAATGGGTCACTGACATTCTCCCCAGTCCGGGGAGCAGACAAGATGCGCTTGCCTACAGTGGGCCTGGAAGATGCCTTAAGGGGGTTGGTGGGCTCCTAAAATAAAGTCACCACCACCACCACCACCACCACCCCCTCGCTCTGGTTGTGTACGCCTCTTGCTCGTCTGTAGCTGGGCCCCGCGTCGCTGACTGGGCTGCGTCTTCAAGGCGAGCCAACCTCTCTTTGGTGCCGGAACCCAAGTAGGTGGACTGGCGGCGGCCGCTGGACACCTCGGCTCCCCGGGCGGGGCAGGGTGGGGTGCAGGTGGGGGGGCGTCCTGCACCGAGTCCTCGGAGTTGAGGCTGAGAACCCGGCAGGAAAGCTGGCGCATAAAGTAGAGGAGGTGACGCAGCCCACCCCCACCACCTTTCGCTGGGATGTTGGCATCCGCCCCCTACGTACACCCCAATAGCCAAAGATTCCTCACTCTGGAATTAATGATTCCCACGGCCTAGGAGCGAGGGCTTGGTTTTAGCACATCCTCCACTTTTTTTTTTTCCAGCCCTCTGTTGTAAAGTTACGACACAATCATTTGATCCAAGTTAATTACGATTTGGGCAGACTCTGGTATTTAAAGCAGTGTTTTGAAGTTGGAAGGTAATGATGGGGGGAGGGGGCAGGCTGCTGAATGACCAACCTTGTTTTAAAGGGTGCAGTTGAATGTGGGAGTCGCTGGGCTGGGGTGTTGGTTTCTGGTTTGAGGGTGATTGAAGGGTAGGGTGAAGTCTCTGTAAAGGGCACTTGGACAGGGTTGGGGCTTGAGAAACTCTTTTAGAACCAGCCCGGCAATGGGATTAGGAATAAATACTGAGGTTACTGAGGGTGGGGGGAGGGCCTCCGCTGGGCAGGAAAAAGACAAGACTGGTTGGCCTAGGGCTCTCCAGGGCCAGGTTCAGCTGGGGAGGCTGGGGATGGCCTGCCTTCCCCGCTTAACAAAGCATCCAGCCCCCACCTTCCCCAGAGAAAACACCAGGCCCAGGGCTTTGATGGATTTGGGCACAAACGGAGCCCAGCCAGAAATGGCCTCTAATACCGGGCTTTGATTTCTCAACTAGTGAGCAGAACCGGTGCTGGAATTGTGCTCATTACTTAGCACGGCAGGGGCTGCCTGCCCACCAGCCTAGAGAAGGGCCAACTGGTGGGGTCAGCATGCAGTCTTCCCTCTGCCCAGAATGTGAAGCCCTTAGAAATGTGCCTTCAGGAGGGAGAACATGCCCCTTCCTCCTACGCAGCCTGTTTTTCTAATGCCACAGGCACAGAATATCTTTCAGAATGTTCTTTGGGTCTGCCCAGTGCGTCCCATTTCACAGATGGGGAAAACCAAGGCCAGAATGTTGGCTTTCCTCATGTCTTGCCTTCACCTGACCATAGATTGTGGACTTGCATGCAGGGCTGCTCCTCTCTAATAGCCAGGCTGGTTCAGGTCACACTGGACTGCTCCTCGTGGCCCCATCCACCTCTGCCTTGAGGCTTATATCAAGCTGAGGGAGACAAGGCTGTCTCCACAGAGTGGGGCTCTTTCTAGGGGGTGTGCAAGCTCCCGTCAGGTGGCAGGCACTTCTGTCTCTTTTCCCTCACCCCCCTCCCCGGTGGATATGGGGATGAGCTCCCTTTACAGCACTGAGGATTTTTAAGCCATAAAGTCTGCTGGTGGAAAAATCAAACCCAGAACCATAAAACCCCAGACCCTTAGAAGGAGGTGTCAGCAAGTGACTGGCCAGCAGAGGCCACTTCAAAAGCCTGGTCAGCCCTGAGGATCGTCTCACCCCACCCCTTAGCTTTCCTGGAGTTTTTAAAGAGTCTTGCCTTGGCCTCTGACTGGGGTGGTTGAGAAGGGACCGTGGTATCATGATAACACTTCTTTTTAAGATGCAATTAAAATCAGAGTTTTCCCAGTGTGTCTGCTGTGTGTGCAGGTATGTCCGTGCATGTGTGTGGGTGTGGTGTGGTGGCCCATCCTGTGTCTCCCTCTACACTACAGCAAACACCCATCTCAAACAAATGGAAAATCAAGAGTGTCTTAATGCGCTTTCTCATTAAAGTGAAAGTATCACTACAGGGGAGAAATTTCGGAGGTAATTTCTCTCCTCCCTCCTCTCTCCCCTCCACACCCCCAACTGGGAATTCCAGAGGACAAAACAGTTCCCCTTTTCCAACCCCTTTATTTAACTGCTGAAGCTTTGGGACAGGCCCCGACATGTCCGGGGGTTACATGGGGACTCAGGGATAGATCTGGGATCTGAACTCGGGCCTCACAAACCTCAGGCTGGTTCTGGCTCCTTTCTACCGCTGGGCTGCAGACTGGCCAGCATGGGTCTGGCACCGAGCTGCTGAATTGAGGCCGTAGGGTAAGCAGGCAGCTAAAGATGAGGTTTGTTTGGTAGTTAGGTCAGACTGGGACTTGTAGCAGGTTGGGGGGGAAAGAGGCAGAGTCAGGAACCCGGACCCCAGACTGGTGGAACAGGGCTGGGCCAGAGGTCAGAGGTAAGGCCTGAGACTAGCCAAGTGGCCAAAGGCAGCTCCATCCTGGTCCTAATCTGCCCTAGGTGAGAGAAATCACAAGCCAAGCTCCCTTGGGCTGCGGAACTACCTGGCTCTACATTTTAAAGCTCTGCCTTCGTTTGTACAGGTAGAGCAGAATATATTTTTACTTTTTATTTTGAAGCTTTGGGGAGCCCATCGCCTCCCCACCCACGCTGTTGAGTTTCTGGCTGTCAGGCCTAAGATGAGACCTTCCCATCTCCCCTTCCCCTCTTCACCACTGTCTTCTAAGGAGGGTGTGGGCTGCCTAGGACTTTGAGGTTGGGGGTAGAGAAGGACCCCCTCCTCCCAAGTGCTTGGAGAGTAAGGTTATTGATTCTGAATGGTCCCTCCTGGAGCGCCCCGCCCCCACCCCCAGCATGTTCTTTTGACCCTCAGCCCTGCTGTTGCGGTGGCATGGAGACCCCTTGGAGCGCCCCCCCCAGGCCTGTAGGAAAGGGAGAGAGGCGGGGTCACGGGTTGGGACTGAGGAGTAGAGACACCCTGCCCCCTTGGCTGGGTGGCCCCCCGGGGACAGAAGGGAGGGGCGCTGGGCATCCGAGGCCACAGCCGGAGCCTCTCCTGGCCTCCTCTTCCTTCTCCTCCTCCTCACCAGTTTCCTAAACAGCTTCCACAAACCGAGTCATTCAAGCTGTGAAGGCAAAATGAAACCAAACAAGTGCCTTCTGGGCTTTTCTGTTTCTTGTCTTAATTTTTTTAAAGGGAAATTTACAATACCGTAATTAGAATAATACGAGGAAGGGCCGTTTCCGGAAGGTCCAGGGCATCGGGGCTGGCGCGCCCCTCCCGCCCCCCCCCGGGGGCCTGCGCTCAGCCAGGGCTCCGGGCGCCTGGGGGGGATGTCTCCGGACCCCGACACCCAGCTGGCCTGGGCTCCGGGCTGTGAATTGGGCGGGCGCGCGGGATTCACACTCGGCCCCGTGCCGTCGCCGCCGCTGCGCCCCCTCCGGTCAGGTCCCGCGGCGCCCCTTCCTCTCCGGCCGCGGCTTTTTTCTCGTTAACGGCAGCGAAAACACAGGCTGAAGTGCGCGCATAAATCAGCCACGGCCCCGCTCCCCCACCCCTTTTGTTCCCCGTTCCTTCTCTCCGAAAGCGGCCGGGTGCTGGTAGCGCCCCAGTTGACCCTTGCCGGCTGCGCAGCCCAACTGTGCTTAGCGCCTCCCCGCGCGGGGTGGGCGCGCTGGGCGCGCTGCCACCGCCCAGGCCACGCTTACCTGGGGTGGCGCACCCTGGACCCTCGCTCCTCCTCCCTGCGCCCCCCCGCACCCCGCTCTCCTGCTCCCTGCGCCCCCCAGCACCCCTCTCTCCTCCTCCCTGCGGCCCCCAGCACCCCTCTCTCCTCACTGCCCCCCTCTGCGTCCCCCCTCCTCCTCCCTCTCTCCCTGCATCCCCTTCCCTGCATCCCCTTCCCTCCCCTCCTGGGCAGAGTTGAATCCATCTGCTGGAGCCCCCAGAACTCCAACACCTCGGTGCCCAGCCTCCGTCCTCACCTCCCAGAACAGGCTGCCCCTAGCGCCTCACAACTTTCCCTGCGCCGCAGCGTGGCCCCGGGGAAGGCAGGCTGTGGGTATGAGAGTGTGTATTAAGGAGTGTGCGTCTTGGGGGGGAGGTGAGAATGTCTATTAAGGAGGTGGGCGGAGGTGGGAGTGTGCAGTGGGAGGTGAGGGTAGGTGTGGTGTTGCGTTAGGGTGTTAGGTTATGGAGGTGAAGGT